AAGACAAGTCAGGAAGCATCAACATGGGTCAGAACGATGATCGAACCGATGAAAACGGCACCAGAACAAGAAAAGCAATTGCGGACAACAGCCGGTCAGAACACGGGTTACCACCAGGGACTGCAGTAATTAACCGCCAAGGTGATTGTCAGCACAGAATGTGTCTCCGCGAGCAGGAGTGGCAGCAGGCCGCTATGGTAGAGTCTTTACGAGGATGTGGGCTTCTCCGCGAGTCACGAAAATACGACTCGGGATGCGAAGCTGCAGGCAAGCCGCAGCCTTGAGAGCGAGCTTCGCTCTGAGCACTGCTCGACGATGCCTGACAGCTCAGAGGCACAGCCATACGACCGCCATGACCGCTATATTACATGCTATCGCCACATCGACATCGGAACCCGGACCTCTTCTGGCCAGACCAGTGCTGCGGGCCACTCCGACCGTCCCGCGCAGGCCGCGGCCGCCCAGGGCGCCGGTCTTCCACTGCCTGCGCTCCGCTCGCGATCGATGCATGCACGGAGGGTTTAGAGGGCTTTCCAGAGGGCGTTTCGCCTTTCGGCCGCTGGTTTGGAGGCAGCCGAGAGGTGAGACCTCGGATGACGAAGGCGCTCTCTCTGTGCAGCGAGCGTGCCCACTGCACGCCGAATTATGCACTCAGGCCAAAGCTGACGCTGGGACAGAGGGCTTGCGCTGGCTTCCTCACTTCGAAGAACGGGGCATGCTGCTAGATCTGCTAGGGTGGAGAGACCGCTGTCCGAAAGGAGTCCGTGTGAACGCAAAGTTAAAGCCTGTCTTCAGACAAAGGTGAAACTAGATTCCTAGATGTGGGGCCTGTCGACAGCATCACAATGCTTAAGTATGACTGAGCTAATCTCCAAGACAGGGCGAATACGCAATCTCTCACAATGAGCTCATGCAGACAGAGGGTTACTTGCAGACAAGGTTCGCAGTCGCACGATTCGGAGCACGTCTGGGCACCGCATTTGCCAGGCACCGCCCAAGCATTCCTGCACTATGCAGGACATTGACCTTAGCTTGGAGGGCTGCAGCCAGCAAACAGGGTGCAAGTAGTTTCATTTGTAGCCAAGCTCGAAGCATAGGCGATGCCAGCTTCCACACCACCAACCGCAGCACAACCGTAGTAGAGGACGCCTGCCGGAGACCCATGCCGGAGAGCAGCAAGAGATGGTCAAGTCATGTCAATTCAAAGCATCTATGGCCTGCGTTGACACATGCGTCAATCGTAGCGTTCGTGTCGCTTTCTCTGCTGGGGAAAACCACAGCCACAGGGTCCTGGTGGAAGAGTCGAGGCATCCAGAGGCACATATTTGCCATGGTGCTGTCAAGTCCGTATTTATGCGGCGACAGGCAGAAAGATGACATGCGGACGCAGAGCGGAGCAGCAATTGAGGATGATGCCTGTGAGTGTACCGTTCAAATTTTATCGGATGATCCTCGAAGGGGAATCCTTACGGCCCCAACGCAAGGATGAAATGCACAAATCGAGAAGCGTACCACACCTCAACCTGAAGAAGTGCGTGCTTCTTCGTTCACCCACGTGTCAAGACGGCACGCCGCTTCACGTGCACCTCAAAAGCACCTGTTTCACTGAAGTCACCAAGCCCCGCGCACACACCACATCCACAAAGCATAGCTGAAGAATTTAGGGCACATTGGTCGATCCCATCCGACTTGCACTGAAAGGAACTGTTGATCTGCGAGCAGTTTTCTGTAACGGGGGGGCCGGGGGGTACGGTAGGTCCTGGTTTAAGGAGGGTAGACGAAGGATCAACTAGACAGAACAGTGTGCAGACTAATGTGACACTGGCTTTTACAGTCCACGACCCCGCCTCCCTCTCACGGCTCTTCCTTCCCTTACGCGTATCTGCAGACTCTGTGGCCGATGACCACCACTTTTGAAGCCGTTTAGTGGGGCTGCCAACGTGCAAGACATTCGTCAGAGCCAACTCTTTCCAGGTTTACTCGCAAATTTGCGAGACGCTTGGAGTCGTGCTGCTTGAGTTGCATAGGGCCGCCCAGAAAAAACTTGGAGTGTATATCGTGAGGATATCTAACTTCTCCCACGCCAGACGGAACTATACCACGTGCACCTATTTGCACTCTACGAGTACCTGTGCGCAAAGCGGATGATTGAAGGAATAATCCTCGGATCTATGCATCTTGTCGGGGCCCAGAAGAGAGAATGCAGGCGCATTGTATGGGTCTAGATTTACATGCAGGCACTAAGCACCTCTAAGCATGTCAACAATTGGCACCGCATCATGGATTATGCAGGGTGCCACAGAAACGACTGATGGAAGGTAGATGATTGTCGTCTTGAATAGGGAATGCAGCACACAGCTTAAGAAAGGACGTGGTTTCCTTTGCTGCAAAAATGCGTGTGTCCCCTCCCTCGAATGCCCGCCTCTATTCTGTCAGCTCTGTCCATTCGCTGCAGCAATGTCCTGCGCAAGCTGAACGCGTTCTGAAAGCCTCAGTACCGTTAAGGGAAGTGTGGAGATGTGCGGAGATGTGTGGAGAGGTACTGAGTGCTGGCTCCTCGACTCATCGGCCACAAGTACACGTTGACCACCTTTCTGGCTCTCCTTGAGAAGGGCCTCTTCAGAAGCATGTGAGCACTGCACGGAAAGGAAAGCCCATGGATCCACACCGCTCGAGCGCAGGCGAGTCGCCGTTAGAGATTTGGGGCTTTGGGTGTGCAGCTTTTCCTGCGCGAACATGTCATTCAGGCGCAAAGCGGCAAGGCACGTTTAGGCAGCACTTCAAGAACACGAAAGAGCCTTTGACATGAACCTCTGCAATGGATGAAGTGCGTGCTCGTCCTTTAGGAAGGTTGTTGCGTCGGCTTCTGCCAGACATTTGCCACCGGGCCCCTGGATGGTCAGCGCGTTCCCTGCATGCTCGGATATATTGTAGAATCCAGGGTCTGCACATGATGCGAAACTCGGCCTGTGGCTGCTAGGAAGCTCAGCCTAGGGTGTAGCAACACGGATCAGACAGCCCAAGTAGCAAATACATCAAAGAACACTTGCAGCCGAGTATCCATGTATTCCTGAACACACCTTGGACGATGCCACCATCTCACATTTAGCGAATCTTTGGATTGGGAACATACTCGCGTGCACTTGTGCATGTCTGCATCGATGTTCTCAGGGCATGAGTTTGCTTGCTACGGATGGTACGTTGGCTGCAGGGTTTAGAGTCCAATGATGGCCAGGCCACCGTGACTGTTGACGAAAGCATCCACGACCATGGTCGCAGTCCCCCTTTGCTCGAAAAACTGGAGGAGAGAAGTCGCTGGTGGAAGCATCACCTCACGACCACTTTATCGTCATAAGGCATTGGGACATATTGGGACCACGGACTCGCCGTGAGTTTGGATACACTCTGTCTCACTCGCTGCAGCAGCCAATGGACCGGGGACTTCTTTCACCTGCATGGAAACAAAGCCTGGGAGAAGTCCATGCCCCGCAGAGCATATTCACCGTTCGGACCCTGATGCCCACTGCTCGGCACAACTTGGACATAAATTTGGAAACCAGGTTGTTGGGAGAACGCTAAAAGCGCCGCTGGTGCCAGACATACTGCAGGCAGTTTGAATCTTGCCCCCTGATATGCCTCGTGCACCCAGATTGCAGTGCATGTCAACTAAACCCTTCCACAACTGCAGCCATGAAGCGATGAGATGCAAGCGGGGTCGATCAACCCGATTCTGGTCCAGTGGTGCCGCTGGCTGGGATGACAGCCAGTGGGAGACAGCATTGGAGAACGCCGTCTGCCTATTCAACTCCCCGACCGCCTGGACAAGCTTCATTTTCAGTTCATGGTTATACACAGTTATACCTGTGACCAATCATAACAGAACATACTCGTTCAACGTATGCCCTATGGCATCATAAATAATGAAATATTCGAGCAGTGCTTGCCAGACCCATGCTTCAAATCCTAGAAAAGCTTCGTCTCAAGTACCGGCTGCCTTCATGCACTTCGACGTCAGCTCGGCTTGTGACCCGAGGCTAACACAAAGCCTGGTCTTCTTCAGCTCCTTGCAGACCTGAGTCAAGACCTTCGTCTCTTCCTCGTGAAGATCCTTGACACCCCCGATGACGCACAAGGCACTGCGGGGACGGATAGAGCCCTCTTGATAAGGGCCCATAACCATGGCACCGTTTTCACGGAAATCCAGTGCAACATCCACAGGTTTTAGCATGTCTCGAAGGAGTTCTGCCAGCAGAGTTCTTGGCCTGAAGCTTGCATGTGGAACTCTTTTATCATTGGCAATGTCTTTCAACAAGTGCCCGTAGCTAGCTTCCGCGCCATCCCATGCTCCGCCCTCGCCCAAGAAGGCTGGGCTCAAGCTGATACTTATTCTGTCTTCGAAGATGATATGGCAAGTGCTGGCACGTTGAAGAGCTGCACGTGCAATTCGCGCAGAGGCATCAACACGGCGCCAGTCGTCTCTGCTAGGCCTGCCTGGGAAAAACACGAGCCACTGGAGGTCCATCGCACGACATCTACGGTCTCACGTGTTAAATGAGCTGTCAAGCAAGTCGAGCATGGCCTGCACAGGATCTCTAACGAAGGTGGCGGATGCCGGTGCGGCAAGATTAACTATCTGGTTCCAATAAGTTCTTGTCCTTGGGTGGTGCAACAAGCAATGACCATCTTCCGCGGAAGTCCAGAGGCTCTGATCCGAGGTAAAGTTCATGTGACGTGCGGCAATGCAACTGCGCTGGAATCATGTCTCGAGCTTTTTTGTACCGACGTACAATCGGTCACGAATTTGTGCAAAAGCAGCTGACCAGGTGATCATATCTGAATGTCATGCACTCAGCTCAATTATATGCTAGCCAACCAGACATCTGTTTAACTGCAGATTTACATGCTGTTAGCACAAACTGTTCGTGTCATGGTGTAGCGCAATCATCCACGGACTGACGCTTTGGACAGGACTACATTCAGGCTTCGCACTGTGGCGACCATCAAACAAGAACACTTCCCCCACCCTTGCTGGGGGCATCAGCTTCGGGTGCTGGAGTAGGAGAGGCCTGCACTGCTTGCAACGCAAAGATTCCATTGGCAATTGGAAGAGGCACGGGGCTTCACTCGGAAAGCCTGTTTCTGCTGATTCAAGTTGTACTTCTGAATGAATTGTGTCCTGCTAGCCACACTAATCGGCGCAATTGCGAGTTCCAGCTGTCGGTCCTTTGCTCAGTTTTCTTTTTGAGTTGTTCCTGGAGCTGGTTCACGGCCTGCGAACAACACGAAGTCTCGAAGAGGAGCACTTGCAAACATGAGTCGATTCTGCAGCTGGGAAAGCCTGCTGTATCTTCTCCAAATTGGACTCGACAGCTGGTCTGACCTGCTCGAAACCCGAGCAACGTACGTGCACTCGATGGTCTGCTATGCTGCCTCTGCGACCGTGCGCTCTACCAGAACGCCACCGACCTGACGTGATGAGCTCGTACGGCTAGGCACAACACGCACATCATCTCGAGTCTCGAGAGGCCAGCCATGCGAAAGCATCTTCTCGTGGAGTCGACTTTGTCAAAAGCCTCCGCACCAGCCACTTCAGAGATTGTTTTCTCAAACACTATCCTCTTAGAATCCCCTTCTGCACCTTGATCACCAAAGCGTGCTCGTTGAGCTCTTGCTCGAGCTCTGCGATCTGCGGTTGAAAGACTCGCTGACAAGCACGAAACTGCTGATCTCCACTGGGCCGAATGCCTTGTTAATCATGACAGAGCATTCCTTCTCTATCTGCTGGTATGTTGCTTGCACCTCACGGTAAGACTCGGAGAACAAAAACCCGGTTGCTTTCGCTTCAAGGTGCCACCTGCTGCGGTGTAAGCTCTTCCTTGGAGCTTTCGGCCATCACTCAAACCAGGCCTGCACGGATGCGATGCGCAGGCATCACGCTCCCTCGACTGGCTCTTCCGGGCCTTGACCGGCCGGCTTCGAGACGTCAGAGATTCGAGCAAAGCACACCCGCTGGTCTGCTTGTTACGATTGTTGCACTTCGGATTCGCTGCATCTCTCTCCACTGCACTGGCACGTCGTGGCATGGGTCTGTCACATTCAGCTGCTCTGAAGAAGGGCACCATTACAGAGGTCTGTCTTCAAGCACAAGCACCATCGTGTTCATAGGCTCAGCAGGCACTTGACGGCTTGCGAGCACTGTTTCATCAGCCACATTGTCCAATACGAATTCGCGTTGCAACTCCTTTCGTCATCGCAGACTGATTGGCGATCTCGGAAGGAGCAAGTAAGTTTCCTAAACGGAATAGACGGATAGGACCTATGATGAATTGTCTCAGCCATTCTGGCAAGACATCACATGCACCAGCGCTGTCTGCTGAGAAGGAAATGCTGCCAGTAGTCTACAACTGTTGCAAGCACCATTGCGATCTGCAGCCACTCCTGCAATTGGAATGGGAGTCCGCTCCGCCAAGGCATCCCGGGTCAGGCATGCTGTTGGATTCTGCAACGCCCGGTGGCTCATGTTGTCAAGGCAGATATCCTGAGAAATTCGCACGATACTCGAAGAGACGGAGCCAGATTCATTCAACACAGTGGTAGGAAGCCTGGACTCCGAACTGCCGCGACGGCGCTCGCCTGAGCAGCTGTGACCACAGAGGGGCATATCAGCGCTGGCAGTGGCAAGCACACAAGGTGGACGACTGGTGCCGGCTGCGTGGCTCTGCTGACCCGACGAGGATGATGAAGAGCTGCTCTTAGCCGTGCAGCTTCGTTTGGACATGGTTTCAGAAAAAGCATGACTGCAGGAATTCTGAAGCAATGAGACAGTAACAACGTGAGTCCGCAACGGAAGAGGACCCGCGCACCAAGTCCGTTTCTGTATCGACCGATGAGGATGGCCGGCATAAGCAAGGTTTCTCGTCTCCCGAGTTGTCTCTGGACATCTGTCCCGACATAGATATCATCTGTAGCCGTGCTTGTAGCTCTGTCTCTGGCTGCTTGCTGTCTTTTTCCGTTGCCGGCGTCTCTTCGTTGGATTTCTCGGGTGACTCCGCCGAAGCTCTGCGGCTGGAAGATTCCTTGCCGAGGCGATATGCGAAGGTATCAGGCCAGGCTAGAACACCCCATGCCTGAGGCTTGTCGCTCATGTCAATGAGAGTCTTGAGCAGCGTTCTGACAGACTGGTTTGGCACCTTCCAAGTCTGCACCAAGCTGCGAGGCCATGCCAGTGACAGTGATCTTGGCAACTGGCCATTTCCACGTGCGGCAGGCTCTGACCCGTAACAGGGCTCTTCCGTGACCTGTACCCAAGCGGAATGCGGAATGCAGCCTACATCGGCCCACAAGTCACAATCGGGTGCAGCACGTCTCGAACCATCTGCTAATAGCTGTGCGCTCGTAGGTGTACCCATCGGCACAGACCTTCAAACATGGAAACTTCAAAGACCAGCTTTCACGTGAGGCGAGCAGAAAGGCTATTCCGCCCATTGTCCTGCTTCAGCACAACTCAGGATGGGACTACCGGATCCGTCATCACATCGTGGGTGATGGGACCTCAGCCAGCATCACAGAGCACAGATGCTGAAGGTGGGTCAATGCTCGAGGTTTCCCTGCGCTGAAAGTCCAGTCAGTTCCCCCCCCCCCCCCCCCCCCCCCCGGCGCCGCTTTGCAGTCTTCACTCCAGGGCTTAAACCGTGGCGTCTTCTTACTGGGACTTCCTCTTGTTGCCACTTCGAAAGTCACTCTGAGGTCAGGTCAGAGGAAGATGCCAAAGGCCGCCTCACCCAAAGGCCACACCTCCTGCAAGCGCTCCTGAGAGGCGGTTGCTTCAAGCTGTGCTCGGCGGCTCAGGGTTTAGGGGGTAAGGGCCGTTGAGGGTTCCGGGTTTCGGGTTTTAGGTTTTAGGGCAGGGGGATGCCGCTCAGTCGAACTTGGGGGGAGCACTCCTCTGCCACAGAGGGCAGCTGCGGAGGATTTGGTATTTCCTGGATCTCTTCATCATCCTGAAACCCAGGGATCGCGGAAGCAGTGGCAAGATTGAAGCATCTACTTTCTGCTTCTTGTAAGTTTACTGCATTGACAAGCTTCCTCATGTGGCTTCCCTCTCTAGATTCTGGATTGGAGTGCCCTGACTGCTCCTTGCCATGTCTGCAGCACAGGACCGGATGCCTCAAGATCAACCTCGTGGACGTTCGAGAGATCAGACTCGGAGTCGCTGTCATCCGTCTCCTCGCGAACGAAGCGCTCAAGGGGGCTTGGAGCCGCCTACTATTCTCCGCTGCCTCGCCGACACCAAGAAAGTCGGTCTCGGAAAGGTCGGAGTCTGCAAGGCCTCACACGCACAGACAGACACACAGGCACACATAAGGGAGACAGAGACCAGAGAGAGGGAGCGAGATGCCGGCTATGCACTCGGAAGACAGAGGCATCGACCGAATCTTGGCAGCTCGTACGTGGAGCTGTGCCGACTGGTCAGGGCAGTTTGCTCCAGTAAAGCTTTCGAGCCCTGACCCAGTAAGCATGCAGCCTGACAGTAGGGCTTGCAGCAGAACCCGAATCAACCTGCGATGCATCAATTCAGCCACACTGTGTATAACCCAAGCGGGACTAAGCTGTGCACTGCTCGCTTGCCTCTGACATTCCATCCGGTGGGTTCAAGACGAAATCGTTCACACTGCAGGGCAGCAAAAAAAAGTGCACATGTGCCAGGTATTGCCACAGACTCTAGTTCAGTAAAGGGAGTACTTGCCTGGCCTCTGTGATGAATCTGACGCTTCTGACTGAGCCGGCCCTGAGCACATCGGCTTGCTTTCAGCATGGTAGCATCTATAGAGAAAACCAAGTATAAGCCATCCACAGTCGAGCTCCTCGTCTTCGTCACTCGCCTGCTCTGCTTGGTTTTGTTTCCCTTCCGAAGAGAAAAATCTGGGGCCCATCAGACTATGGGGCCTCGTGGCTGTACCTGGCAGGGAGACGGCAGATCTGTGCGCCACGTGGAGGCACTCCATGGAAGCGAACACCTGGCGACATGTCGCAATCCGATTCTCGGCCGCTCAGCTCGCGATGGGACCATCCTTGCCTCTGCTTGCATTGATGGCATACAGCGGCATGAGGCTCCTCGGTGCGGAAGCTAGGGATGCGCCGGACCGCCGATTCCATGCATGTTGCCGTTCCACCAAGCTTCCAGCAGTGCACCCTATGGCATCCACGATCCCCATTTAAGCTTTACACAGATGCACGCATCAAGCTGTTTTCTGGGCAGGGACGCCCATGATATGTCATTCTGATGCTCAGTGGCTGATAAAGGACCTACTTGAAAACTTCGTCACTGCGCGCTCGCTGCTACTGCACCCGTCTATATCTGGCGCTTGAAGCCAGTGCCCTGATCCTTGTCGGTGACAACGCTGACTGAGCCGAAAGTGTATGCAGACAGGCGCGTGTGCCCCCAAGGTCGCGGTCAGCGACGCAACGACATGAGCATGAAGTGGTGCGTTGCCCTTGCTTTTGACCCTTCGCGGTTGGAAGGCGGTGCATGTGCCGTGCGTCCACACTAGCCATGGCTGTGGATGGCCAGCAAACGGACAAGTGAACACCGCGAGAGTACTGCGTGTTCTGCATGCAATGTTGAGAGAAACTCGGGAGGAAATGCACTCATACGAAACGAGATCCTTCAAGTCCTGCAGTGCTATGAAAAGCGGAGGAAGACTCAACTGAATTACCACCTTGGCTTTGCAAGTCTTCGGCTCGCTTCACACGCCTGACAAACACAGCATTCGAAGCAAATCCGGAGAACTAACTGGATGCATAGCTTCAGGTACTGCCATGACCAAACAAGAAAATGCTTGACCCCCACACTGCAAAAGAATTGCTCTTCTCCCATTGTTCTTGTTTTCTTTCAACTTCTCCCGCTCCTGGGATTTCAAGACCTCGATCTCTTCTAGCCTCGGTCGAGGCCCCTCCTCTGGCAGGGCCAACCCTGCATTTCCGGCGCCTGCAAACGTTGGGGTCATCGAGTCTCTCATCATTACTATCCCTTTCAAGTGGAAAAGGTCGGGTGTCAAGCAGGCAATGCTGAAGGTCGGAGGAGATGTTCTTCTCAGACTGTCCAACCGTTCAAGAAAAAGCACGCCGCCGTAGTGCCTTGGTCTGAACGCGTGACACCACGGAGGACTTTGTCCAAGCACTCTGCTCCTTTACTCAGTCGCTCTCTCGTCTGTCTCGTTTGCTACCTCTCTTCTCTCTCTCTCTCTCTCT